CTAGAAATCGAATTTCTCATGATCAATTTGATCTAAGGTTGATAGCGTTTACTTCGCCGGCTGCTGACGGTCCTAAAGTCTCACGACCTGTTGGCCATATAGCATCAAGCATTATTCTCATTATTTTGTAAAAAGTAAGCCAAAAAACAATCAAAAAATACTGCTCAAATTCTATTCCTGCCCTCAAACTGCTTTTTTCTCAATTCTCAACGCCAACTCAATTTCCGTGTTGTTCCATTTCGATTTGGCAATGATTTGTATCTGCATTGATTTAGTAAACACTCTACTTCCCTTGATTATTTCTTCTGATGACGATATTTCTGTGTAATGCGAGGTTTTTGGGTGGAACCATTTATTAATTTCAACCCTCTGACGTTCCACCTAAAAACCTCTAAAGACGCAGGGCTAAATATAACCAGCGTTGACTATTACGTCGAGATTACGACAACGTTGAAATTTTATTGACTCATATTCCGTTTTATTTTGATTCCAGATTCCTGGGAGCGTAGCTCAGTATACTTCTATCCAAAGAAATCATCAATGAATGGGAAATCTCCAAACTAGAAAACGTCATGCTGGAGAGGTTGGTTCGAAGAGTTTCGTAGCCTTTGGATTGCCTATCTAGGAAATTTCCGGTATTTAAAACTATTTGAAATATTGAATATTTCAAATAATTTTAAAAAATACCAAATACCGAAGATCAAATATCTGAATTAGAAGAGCTTTATTCCGTCTTTGTTGTGGCATAAGGCATATGAGCGCCTACTTAGGCAACAGCGATTAACCGGTTTCACTGATTCCTCAGTAATTTGGTTATTGCAATTACAAGCTTCAATGAAGGCGAACAGCTGGACCCCCAATCAGTCCATAGTCAAATCAACGAAAGAGAAGTTCATGTTTGTTTACTTTGGGGTTATATCCAAAAAAGGGTGAGGAGATCGCTTTCAGTGATAGACTGATAAACTGTGGAGGAATTTTTTCTAATACATTTTTCTTCTGCTTCCCCTGGCTTGTTGGTGCTTGTCGCATATTTAGCAGAACATGAAGAGGGGAAATGTATTTTGAGGGAAAAATTAGGGGTTCTACGTGCGCAAGTGGGTTGGCCCTGATGGGCTCTGTCACAGTGGTTCGAAGTGAATTCGACTTGACTTTGACTAACTTCTGTTATACGTTACTCATCTCTGATTACGAGACCTTATTTATTCCTTTCCGATAGTTTCAAGGTTTTGGCTGGCTTTTGTTGGTCATTATCGTTTCAGATGCCATTTATCAGTGTAACCACAAGAAATCAGTTCCAAGGGCAATTTTTTGTGACTCGGCGAAATTCGATCCCGTAACGTAGTCTGTTGTCAGCCACGGCCACGCTAGGCCCATGAGGCTCTCCATGAAGGCCGTACGCATTTGGTTCTCGAGTGTTTCGTCTTAACGAATACTTTAGAACGATGAATTGCTCCTCAATCTTGAAATCCTCTACATTTTCACATGTTTACTATATGTGTTTCCCTCAATGTTTCCTCTTTTTTTGCTACTATGGAAAGCCTTTCCACCAGACGCTTCCAAAACAAAATAATAGAGGATACCACTTCAGTAGCCTAAAATGCCAGACAAAGGAGATTGACTTGTACGGATGGCAAAGGAAGCAGGCGAAAGTCCGTGCATGTGGCGTTAGTGGAGGAGGGGGAGATTTGTGTGTGGGTGTGGCTAAAATGCAAAAAAAGCAGGTGAATGTCAAGATCGATAGGTGAAATATAGGTTCGATAGGTATAAGGTGAAACCGAAATTCGGGAGGAATGCCCACTGTGTTCTATCAAGCTGTGATTTTTCAGGAGCCAGATGTGGTGCAAACGAAAAAGGCTCGTCTCAGCGATAGGTGCTCGCCTTGTACCGGTCAGCGACGAAGGAGATTGAAGCTGGACAGGGTACTTACTCGCCTATTCTGCTTATTTGATTTCCCGATACCTACTAGTCGCTGACAGTTCAAATCAACTCCTTCAGGGAGATTCATCACCATGTTTGAAAAAACGTCGACTCTCCAAGTTTATGCACCTTTCCGGGCTCAAATTCGATTCGATTTTCAGGCCAGGTAACTTCTTACGGTGAAAACCCCCACATTTTTGAGCCCACAGAACAAAGTTCAACTGATGGCAGAAGTGAAATGAAACTGATTTTAATCCTGGATTACTCTACGCATACCGATTATCTTCTCTCTCACTAGAGAACCTAATCACATCAGTAAATACAGGTAGTGATACTACCCGATGTCGCAAGGAAACCATCTGCCAGTCGGCATGATTCAAGTTCGGGGACTATGTAAGTCAACCTTCGGGGTTGAGCCATGTAGTGAAACACCTTGGGTGTGTGGGGGCTCTTTTCCCGATGCTTCAGTCAAGCCATTCTGAGAGCATGAATCAAAAGCAGGCGTATATGAGATGGGTGAAGTCAAAGAGTGTGATAGCCAAAAGTCCAAAACGAAGTGACCTGACGCCAGCTTAGCCAGGCAGCGAGTTTTCCCATTATTCACTATCCTTATGGGAAATTGAACACCTTAACTCTCCAAAGAAAGCATTCTGACGGAAGTGTCTTCTAGAATAGGGATCAAGTAGCGCTGTCCGTATTGTTTTCAAATGCTAAGTCGGGAACAGCCATCCAACATCTGCCCCCCTCCCAAGACGACCATTACCGAGGTTCCCAGTGAATTCCCATTACGAGACATGATAAATGTTTCTCGATGTCAAATTGAACTAGCGAAATGTCAAACAATGTTTTCCAACGGATGTTATTGTCACGCCACTAGAGTTTGGAAGCAACAACTCTAACTCCAAGATCCCTGGAGAGAAATACTGATAAAAAAACTTCCATGGTTACACTCTCGAGGTACAACATGCTCTTGTCCGTGTCTTACTGTAGGCAGAAGGGATTTTAAAGGATAGAAATGCTATACCTTTTGAG